CGACGTGATTCGCTTAACAACCATGTGATTCACTTAACGACAGTGGTGATTCACTTAACGACTGTCTAAAAAGGCCATAAAATCAGCTCCAGTCATGTGACAATTTGCTTAACAACCAAATCGCTTAGCGACCTAAATTCTGGTCCCTATTGTGGTTGGATAGCGAGGATTACCTGTACAGCATTGAGCACTGCTGTTAAATCAGTCTTCCCCAATCTGGTACCCAGGGATGTTTTGGAAGTGCTTCTCTCAGAAATACTAGTCAGTATGGCCTTTTGGAATTGCAGTCCTGACGTATTTGGAAAGGTGCCAGATTAGAGAAGACTATCTGAATCATTTTCGAGGAAATTATTAAAGAGAGTAAAATATACTCCCATCACAGATCCCTTAACACTAACTATGATTGGGTCTGGAGAATGAACCTTTGTATAATTATTGTCTGTGTAATATCTAATCAGCAGTCAGGCTAATATGGACTCATCAAGAGTGGCCTCATTACAAGGTGACACACAAAGTGATTTGTTGCAGGTTGCTGATTCCAAAAGGAGCACTATTTTCACATTGTCACCAATTTCACTTGTATTTCTTTATATATTGTGTTATTTACTGGTTTTGTTTCAGAGGCAAAATGCCAAAGATAACAATGCCTAAATTCAAAATATGAGATCCCTCTTACTAGTTGCTGGGCTGTCACATATTTGGTTTTATTTTTATCAAATAGTAAAGTGCAAATGGCAAATGAATTTTTATAAGTACTACTCCTAGCTGTTAGGACTATACGGAAGGGAATGTTTCTGTTTCTCTACATAGAGAATGGTTCAACAAATATTTTCTGATAATTGTCTTGGCATCTTTCCAGCTACTGACCAAAGATGTGAAACAGAGGCTGGGTTGTCGGGAAGGAGGTGCAGCTGAAGTAAAGAGTCACCCATTTTTTAAGAGCATGAATTTCAAACGTCTGCAAGCAGGAATGCTGGAACCCCCTTTCGTCCCTGATGTAAGTGATGCGTAAAAGAGAATCATAGAACTGAAGTACAACTTGAAAACATATATGACATACTGCTTGAATCTGTTCTTTTACTTGTTGAAATCTATCTTCCTTGAGAAGCTATAGTTAAATGGTCATGCCTTGACCTTGGATGTCTATGTCTAATAATTCTGATCCATCACTGATTGAAAGCTTATTTCATCACAGTATTTCGGATGAAGCCCCTAGGTAGCCTTACCCAACTTGGTGCTCTTCAGATGTTTTTGACTCATCTATGGAGTATTTTCAAAAGTTATGTCAGTTGTTATCTTAGTACCTGTTAGCCATTAATACTGGGGTCTCTAATGTGCTGACACTTCAGTTGATGCTAGTCAAGCTTCATATCCCACTCTATTTTAAAGAAATAATTAAATATTGTTTTAATTTAAAACAAAATTACTGTGGAAGCTAGCATGGTGCAAAACAAAGCATCAGCTTCCAGAATTATCTTTATTTGCAACAATGTCCATAGATTTCACAGATATCCCAAAAACTATTTTTATTTTATATGGATGTTACAGCTCAGTGCTTCCTTTGGGAGTACATCCAACAGCCCATTAAAAAAAAGAAAAAAATGACCTGTGTTTTCATAGAGATGATATTGAAGAATAGCCTCATATGTTTGCCTTCTAATAAATGGGTTTTATTAGAAGGCAAACCTTCTAATAAACCTTCCCCCTACCATTTTCTTGAGTACCCTTGTAATCTATGAAAATGTAAAATGTTTCCACTGCCTTAAATTGGGGATCCCCCTCTGACAGACATTAATTCTACAGAAAATCTTGGTTTGGGCTTTTCATTGGTAGCATATGTGTGCTCACTAGATACAGAAGTCACCAATGCCATCTACAAGTGACACTGGTGAAAAGGCACTAGTATGTCATCCTGGTTCATCCCCAGTCCATCAATATATGGATGTTAGAATTAGTCTATGAATTAACTCTGATCTGGGAAGTTTAATTAAGGTAGTTTCATTTATATAGTATGTTCTAACAAAATTAATATTAAACTCTTTTAGCAAAGTATAGTTGTATTAATAAATATAAAATATTTTGCAAGGAATTAAAATCATTGTAACAACTACATATAATATTTATTCCTATCTTGAAAATCCCAGAAGTCTGTATACAAAAATGAAGTAACACAATGAGTATTAGCCAATGTTTATAAGTTGAAGAAAACTAATAGTGAAAGTTATTTCCCCATTCTTACCCCATTGTTTAAATGTCAATTATCCATAGTGGCCTCAAGAGACTTGCATATTTTCTAATTTCTTAGTCTTGTAATTGTAATTGTAATATAGTAATCCGTTTTACTACATTGAATCAGCTCTCTAGAGTTTCTTTGGAATCTGAGATAGAAAAAGTAACTTTGGATCCATCCCATTGGATTTGTTGATACAGCTATCATGGAAATACATCAGTATTAATACTGAGTAATCTTTTTATGTTAAAGAAAAAGATGAGTGGCTTATGAAATCTTAGAATTATTATTAGTGCTTTCTGTAACCAATATTGATTGAGAAAAAGATGAGTGGCTTATGAAATCTTAGAATTATTATTAGTGCTTTCAGTAACCAATATCGATTATAAAGTGTGAACAGGAAGAATTCAGAATTGGGCCATGCATGAAATAGAAAATATATTTTGTTTTGAAACAGAAGCAAACCATTGTGCTCTGGAAGTTCTACTGAACTATTTTGGATTGGTAACAGTTCAGCAGAAACAAATGCTGGAACTTCTTGGTTGTTCTAGGCTTTAGCCAAAGCAAAATCCAGAGGAACATCAGAGAGATTATGCGGGGGAGTAGACCAAAGCTGGGGCATATGCTCCCTCGCTCTCCCCTCTTCCTCTGCATGTCCAAAGGGCTAGCCTCTCCACTCTCCACTCCCATCTCCCCAGGGTGTTCCCTCTCTGCCTCTCTTCAGCTGCTGCTGCCACAAGTCCCAGCATGGCATCACTCATTCACCTATCCTGTCATCTCCCCAGCACTGCACCTCCCTTTCCTTTCTTTCCTAAAACACAGATGACCAATAGATGGCAGTAAGAGTTACAGTTTTCGTATCTCTTTGCTGCCCTCTGCTGGTTGTGTTTTGCAGCCCAGATCTCATAGCCCTATTTTTCTGACTGTTCCAAAAGAAAACACAGCATTTAAAAAAAAAAAAACAAAAAACGGTGGAGGAGCCTGTGATGTAGGAAAAAACTCTCAGCGTTACAGCTCACTTTTGTAAAGGAAAAGCTTTTACATTTTTTTGTCTTTTGAAGAAACTGCAGCGAGAAAGGATAGAGGTTTATGAATGCTGTGGGAGGAGAGCAGGCAAGCTCAGAAGGGTCAAGTTAGTATTGGGAAAAGCAGTGCAAGCAGCCTGGAGAGTGTGGAGAAGCTTAGAAGGGTTGGACAGACTTTGAAAGATGGGGTGTGGGAAGGATGCAAGGGCACAAAGGGGCTCGATGAAAGTTAGGGACAGGAAGGCAGTGAGTAGATAAAAGAGCTGAGGAAGGTGAGAGGAAGAGCAGCAAGTGGGTGCAAGAGAGAGGAAAGGTGTGGGGGACATGGGGGCAAAGAGGCATTGCAGACTGCATTGGACAACCCACTCAGCTATATTTGGCCCACGGGCATGCCCATTTTGCACTCCTATTCTCCCAAAGCCTTACTTCCAAGGATTCTCAAATAGCACTTTGACTACATGTTCAGACTCTTCTTCTTTCTTTTCCTGCTGGGGCAGCCGAGAGCAGTGTACTGCAAAGATGTGTTGGACATTGAGCAATTTTCAACTGTCAAGGGAGTGAACCTGGACCAAACTGATGATGATTTCTATTCCAAGTTTTCTACAGGCTCTGTATCTATCCCATGGCAAAATGAGGTAACTATATATTTACCATGCTTCCCTAAAATCTTTACTATCGGCCTTTCAGAATTTCATAAATACCAAGTATATACTTGAAATATTCTAAATACCTTATTTCCTCGACTTGGATATACTCTACAGCAGTTTTAAATGAAAAAAATCCTGTTGTTTTAATGTTTAGCTATGCACTTTGAAAGGATGTACCCCCCCCCACACACACACACTTGTGTTTTATTAAAGTGACAGAAAGTGATTCTTTCAAAATGTGTGGTTTATTTTTAAGTTCTGAAATTTCAGATATGGTCCTTTTGAAGACAGGACCACAGTTACTTGATAATAAAAAGCTAAGCACAGCTTTCTGTAATGAAGGACATGCATTGCTTTCATGCGCAAGAGTTAGTTGATTGGGGTTAGGACCAGCAAATATTTGGTTTAATTTTGCTCTGTCCAATATGTTGTGCAAGTCAGCTGCAGTCTCACCATTTCTGCTGCTCTCAGTAAAAAAACCTTCCAGACATGGTTTGTATCACATTGAGCAAGCTGAGGAAAATGGCAATTGGACTAGAATGCCAAGACAGTAGAAAAGAATGTCAGAGGTTTAGAATGAGAAAGTAGCAGAGATTTGTAGGCCATTCTAAATTGCCCTTAAAAATGACTCATTGGCCATATCAAGTGTCATTATAATCATTTGTTCATCAGATTTATATCTTGCCTGTTGTTCAGGACCTCAAGGAGCCCAAACTCACACAGGGCTGCCTTGTCCTGTTTTTCCCCGCAACAAGTAAGGTAGGTTGCACTGAGAGAGTGACTGGCCCAAAGTCACCCAGGAAGTTTTCATGACTTATAGTAGAGTCTCCCTGCTCCTAGTCCCACACTTAGCCACTACCCCACACTGCCTCATAAAGCTCTCCAACTATAGATCATTTTCAGGGAGCCAGTGGGTGTAGTGCATCTAGATCACTTCACCTGGTTGTTGTAGTTGTACAATTATGGAATTATATAGATCCAGAGTAAACCACATGGTGCTCTCCAGATGATTTCAGCTTCTTCCTACCAGCCCATCCCAGCACAGCCAAGGGAAAAAATTACTGGAGCCACAGTCAAAAATGTGTGGTGATCATCAACAGAGAGATCACAGTGGGACAAAGGGAGGCAATTAATGAAACATGTGATATGACATTGCAACACAAGTCCATGACTTATATGCTTATGTCTGACTTCAAGACACCAGCATGAAATACCAGGTTTGCACTATAACAATACATTCTATCACCTTTTTGTCATTGTGGTTAGCAGTGGATTTTTATCCTCATCAGGTTGTCTATTCCTGATATTTACAAAAGATGTAGGAACTCCTCAGTCTGGGCACATTGTATCTCCTGATTGTAAAATCCCTTTGGGAGTAGTGATTTCACATTTCACAAGCATGAGGAACACTTCTCCCTGTGAATCCAAAGATTTGCTGACAATGACCACTATATACTCTTTCTTTCTGTTGCTCTCCCTGGAGGCATTTGGAGAAAGACTTTCAAAATGACGTCTACAGGAAGGATTGCAACATTTTCTGGTTTTGATCACCTTATTATCTAATGGCAGTCTTGAAGATCCATGTTGTTGTTGTTAACTTCCTATAATTCAACCTTTCCAACCTAGTGCCCTTCAGATGTATTAGGTTCTGTTGCTCTCCCTGGAGGCATTTGGAGAAAGACTTTCAAAATGACGTCTACAGGAAGGATTGCAACATTTTCTGGTTTTGATCACCTTATTATCTAATGGCAGTCTTGAAGATCCATGTTGTTGTTGTTAACTTCCTATAATTCAACCTTTCCAACCTAGTGCCCTTCAGATGTATTAGGCTACCACTCTTGGAATCTTGCTGCCTAGTAATACTGATAACCCTACACATCTGAAGAGCCCCAACCTGAGAAAATGGCTAGGAGGCATTCAGTCTACTGTAGAAGATGTATGTATGAAGAGGAATATTAACTCAGTTTCTGGCTATACTCCCCTGTGTAAAAACTGATGGCTATATTTTCTAGTTTAATGCCTATTTGATTGCTAATTATTTATGACAGAAAATAGATAAAGCGCATCCTGCCTATATATCTGTCTTTCACTTATGGGACTGTGTGTGGTAAAGTGATCAAAATGTTGACAATCAGGCTTGAATTTCTGCTCGACCATGAACTTTACTGGGTAACTTAAGACAAGTTGCTATCACCCTTGGATATCAGCCTAGAGAGTTATACCAAGAAGAATTTGGGAAAGGAATAGTATGTATGCTATTTATAGCTATTCAGGTGGGAAAAATTCAACATATTAATGAATAAATTGGGCACCACTTTATGGGAGGAGCTATTCGTTCAGGTGCAGGACCTGAATAAGCATGTGGACTTCCAGATAGTGCCAGAATTGTCCAATTCAACTTACTTTCTTTTTTAACCATGTTGTGAATAATTATGTGAAAAGAGAACACAATTTAGAGGTAACCAGCATAATATACAGTGCAGTTCTTGATGCTCTCTGAGCTTGGTTGTTTGCTTGCAGATGTTTCACTACCCAAGTAGATAACATCATCAGTGTGAGTGAGTGTGGGGTTTTCTCCCTGTTTATATACAGCAGCTTGCCTGCCAGTTTTGGGGGTGTGGTTTTCTCCTTGGTAGCTCCTTGATTAGGGTATTGTTTTCTGCTTGATTGTTTGCCTGCTGTTAATCCCTGCTTATCTGGGTGTTTGGCTGCTGGAGTGGATATGTTCTTGTCTTTTTGTTTCTTTGTTAGCTTTTTTATTGTCTCTTTTAAATGATGTATAAATATGGTTTATTTCTATGTGACTATTGATGGCTGATTTGCCTGAATGCCGAGCTTCCACAAATTCCCTAGCATTTTTGGATTTAGCTTGGTCTAGGATGCTCACAGTTTCTCAGTTGAAACTATGGCTGAGTCTGTCCATGTGCTGTGAGATTAAGGAATTTTCATCGTGTCTTCTGACTGCTAGTTAGTGTTCATGGATGTGCTCTGCTAATCTTCTGCCTGTCTATCCTACATAGTGGTTGTTACAGTCCTTACACTGTATGTTGTAGAGGACTCCTGATTTTTCTTCTTGGGCTACTGGGTCTTTTGGTTTACCTAAGGTGTTCTGGAAGGCTTTAGTTGGTTTGTGTGTTATGGTAATGCTGTGTGGTTATAAGAGACTATTGGTTGTTTCTGAGATGTTTTTGATGTATGGTAGCGTTATCTTTTTCATAGCTTGTGTTGATTGTGCTATAGTTGGGTTGAGTGGTCAGGCACTTTTTGATAAAGTTGCATGGGTATCCATTTTGTTGGAAGATATTGTATAGGTGGTCCATTTCCTTTTTCTGGTGTTCTGGGTTGCTGCAGTGCATTTGTACTCGTCTGGATAATGTTCTTGTGGGAGGTTGGGTTGTTACTTTGGTAATGGAGCACTTGGTTAGTATGG